AAAAAAAAAAAAAAAAAAGTTTAGATCCAATGAGCCCTGATCTCATCCTTTTTCTTTCAAAATTGAGACTAGTAGCATAACACAGATATCTATTTCAAAAAATATGGTCTAACATGTAATTTCCGTCGACCATAGAGAAAAAAGATCTTATGCCTACAAAAAAAGATTTATGAGTAAATGAATGTTAACTAGTTTCAAATAAATCAGGATCACTGAATGGCTAAATTATAAAGTCAATGAATCTACAAGTATATCAATGAGTAGTGGACTCATATGAGGGTATGTTATAATTTTAGATCTAACCAATTTGATGAATTACTCCTAAATGTTCACATCAATCTAGTGGTAGTTCACAACAAACTAGTGCTAGTTGATTAGTAAACTCCGATGAAAAAAAAAAAAAAATGTACGATCATAGTCCCTACCATTCTGAAACTTATGGAAAGTGGTGTATTCCATGTACCTATGTCCACATGATATTTGGGATGTCGATTTGAAGTCACCAGTTAAAAAAACAAAGAGATTATGCTCAACACAGCTGTTTGTACCAAGAAATTACTTCAATCAACCAAAAAATGCAGATATAAAGTGTGCTCTTTTACTTTACAGTATGAAGAAGAAACGCAGTAAAAAATAAAAAAAAGCACGCTAACTGAAATTATTATACACCTATGCAACACCTTTCTGCAAAAAGAAGTAAAAAAAACTGATCATTTTCGTCCGTCAAAGAAATGATTAGGCTCCTGAAAAGGCATAACCATTTGAAGATATGGAAAAAGCATGTTGTATGTTCTTTATCCTGTCTCTCCGCAGGGAATTTGGGTCTATTCCTGCTTTATGAGCAGCCACAACTCCTATCGCCTCCCAGTAATTTGATACCTTCACCTGGAATAAGAAATACAACATCTAATTTACCACTTGGCATTTAAAGTCTAATATTTGAACTGTCGTTAGAGCAGAAGCCCGGAAAAGATCATTCCATATTGAATATAAGAGTTTATGTCGTGCAATTTCAACAAAAATGGGCTAATGAAAACGGATAAGTTTTGATACGCTGTTTAAAGCATACCGCGTTAATCCCAAGTTTATCAGGTGTATCACTGAGAACAGTTTCATTCTCTTCAACGGCAATCAAAAGTGCCTGTGGCAAATCAATTGAGTCACAAAAAGAATAGAATGAAAAGTTCAGCCCAAAATTATTATACTTGACAGCAAGACTAGATTAGCAAGATAAAGCCTTTTATCCAGGGAAGCGGAACCACTTCTTCAAGTATATCTGTCTTAGATCACGAAAATTGGCACAGAATGCGTACCCTACTTGTTTTTCCACTAGCAAATGCAAGAGCACCGTCTCCTCCGCATGCGTCAATTGGTAGAATAACACTATCAACATCACTGGCTAATATACAGTCCTTGTCTGAAGACTCGGAATTCCTTACCAAATACTGTGGTGCTGTACTAAGCCCAGCAAGCACACATGGCAAAAATGTATAACCTATCTACAAGGAATATTAAAAGGAAGGAAATCAATAATATAACCAGAAGACATAAGAAAAGTAGGAATAGTCGTGCTTTATCACTCTATATTCCATGATTAAGTACATAAATGCAGAAATAACTTGAAATTCCTTGAGGTTAGAAATGCATAAAGCAAGGGAATTTTCATTAGGAGTCCTGCCAATCTGGGTGGTAATTTTCTAAAAGTTGCATCAGTTACTTCAAATGCCTTCCATATGATTTTGAGGGGTTGGCTTGGTAAAGGTTTTATGAAGTTCTATAGAATTACTATTGGGGTATAAAAAAAACCAATAACTTCAAATAGATCTCACTGAACTAAATTAACACGACTATGTTATATATCCAGCTCCAATTTCCTTCGACAGACTGCTCAAGAAGAAAAGCTGCAGAAGGATGATTCTAATCTTTTTCTCTCTCTCTCTAACCCAGAAATTAAGGGCTGTAAAATTTAATGATATTGGATTTTTTTGGACCACGTTTCAATTACTTGAACAAAAGCATCAATCTCTACCCAACCAAAATGTAAATGCCATGTCTTAAAAGAGAGTTTTTTGTCAATCCTCACATATTCTGAACAGAGCAAAAAGGTATACAAGGCTCTATATGTTTTCGGGAGGATAGTCTAGTACCAAAGATATCTCACCTCTTCCGCAGCTGATTTTGGACACAAAGGACTTAGTGGAAGAGGTAATAATGCAGGAGCATGAGCACAAGGAATCCCATAATTCTTCACCACTAGATGGCTAATCACAGCTTCCACACCTGCCAAAAGATCTATACCCTGCAGTAATAAAAGCTTCAGTAGAATGAGATGATAGCTTAGACTACTGGATGATGGCTATTTGTTTATTGCTGCAGATTAGCGAAACGCATTCAGTTTGTAGAGATAGCTAAAAGAGTTGAACTTACCCAGAGATATCCATGGTTCAGTCCACAATTTGAATGCAGAACTACATGCAGTTGAATGGTTGAATTAAGAGCAAATGATAAGAGAGCATCCTTCAGACTCTGAAAACAAAATTGCCACCAGAAGACTCTCTCTCCCTTTCCTTTTTGCGCGCGCACATGTGTATGTTTTTTGGGGGTGGGAGTGGGTTGGGAGTGGAGAAAGGAGCAAGTGGGATGTTTCAACTCCAGAACTGAAGATAGCAGTTCCTCAGAAATTATGTTATATATGTTAAGGGAGGAGAAGCACGCAAGGAAAGGAAGGGTATGCAGCAAATGACCAGTTTGTCAGATCAGTAACTGGCTCCTCTCCGATTGGTGAAAATTTCCCTATTATATCCCTAGGTAATCAAATATCCTAAAAGTAAGATACCCCCATAGTCCAAGATGAAACTTTTTTTCTCCCTCACTTCATACGCATTACACGTCTTACAGGCATCTGATCTTTTCACCTAAAAATGATGTTTGGTAACAACAACAAACTGAGCCTTATAGCCAATACATTTGGGGTTGACTACATGAATCCAAATATGATGTTTGATATTGTAATCTAGGATTTTTGAAGCTTGATTATGGGATCTTCATATATTTTTCCTTGTATCCTTGCATTGTATTTATTGTATTTCCACTCATTGAAGAAAATAGGTAGGTCCATATAAATGCCCCCATCCTCTAGAGAAGTGTAACATGCAACCGAATACTTACAAAAATGTTTTGGAAACACTATCTACAAGTCACATATTAACTTAATTAACATGCAACTCTACCAGAAATGAACCTAGATGTAGGGTGAGATTGAAGGGAGGAAGTACTAAAAGAAAAGAAACATCAGAGCAAAGAAAAATAGCGTACCATCCCTTGCCGATAATCATCAACGTCATCACTATCATCATCTGGAAAGCGAGCCACTACTGCAACTGCATTCACCCCAGATCTCTTTATCAATGATCCTACGGCCCTTAGTAAAGAATCAGAATGCTGTATCCTCCCCGTGGATTGTCCACTCTTAGAGTTGATCCATTTTTCCACCTTGAAATGTGTAATGTATTTAGGTTCAACCATCCAATCGGTCCCTTGAAAGTAAATGTTAAGTTCATGAAAGAACAGTTATTCAATACACAACTTCCATACTTCAAACACCCAAATTCACGAATATCACACTTGCACAAGAATGCTATCACGAGGACTGGCAATCATTGCAATCCACAGTAACAGTTAAAACATGTCAAATAGTACCATATTTATAAACATCCAAGACTTTTCTTCTTATAGGATATTTATATGCTTCATGTCATGTAAACAATTTCCAAGACAATCTAGCCTATAAATTAAAAAGGAGTGCAAGTAAAATACATCTTTCTTGACTCTGTTAAATAGTTCATTCGTCAGCAGTTGCGTACCTGTAAAGGGGTGTCGGTCACAGTATATTCAACAACAGGCAAACCAAGGGAAGCTCTTGCTGCATCAACCACTTGTAAATGACGAATCCGAAGATCTTCCTCTATTCCAGCATCAAGAACTAGTCCCACCTGTTTTGCAATGCAAGACATTATATGGTCCAACGCTAACATTGAAGAAAAAGTATGGTCATCACCAAATTATTGACAAGTTCTGTAGGATCCATCAGACATGAAACATACCTTATTCTGATGAACTGGTTGTAGTGCCCAAAGGCCTTCGGCAAATCTATCAAGAGCATAACCCTCAACATATAATATGTTCGGCATTGGCCAGTAAAGTGATGCTGCATTAAGAACCTGTATGTTTGCAAAATCAGAAAAGAACCGAGACCTTGTGCAATTCACAACATTTGATTCAGTAGCAAAAAATAAAACTAATCTTAACCACAGCACTCAATAGGAGATTGTTATCTAAGCCATCAGAATATGATAACATTTAATTTGGCCAAAACCAGCATCTTGTCGATACTTAAATACATTAAATTCCATGTTACCAGATTCAGGACTTGCACGCTTAGGGTGTTTGGCTCACCATATTTTGCCGTATAATGAATTATTTTATCCAATAAAACATTCGGGATAATTTATACTCGGAATGAACTAATATGTTGTACTCTATTGGGGATAATTTATACTCGAAATAAATTAAAATGTTGTACTCTCATACTGTAGGCCAAGCAGATAATTTTATATTGTGGTAGACAATGGATTAATGTCAGTTTACACCTAGACTGGCACTAATGTTTCAGGTTGTGGAGCATGTTCTTGTGTTTCTTTCTATCTCGATTTTAAATTATTGTTGAGCCTATGTGCCCTTTCATAATAACACTCATGATTGAAGAAAATAAATGATAAGTATAAAAGAGAAGTTCAGAGTGTTGTATCCAATAGTTATATATTGCTGTAGTTTAGTTTAATGTATTAGATTGGTTTTTCTGCTTGTACATTCCACTAAACGAACACAGTACGATAGCACTCCACCTAAATACAATCTTTCCTAATCCTATCTCCCCTAATACAATATAATGTGTCAAACGCACTCTTAATTACTTGAGAATTATTAATTCACTTAAGATCACATCAGAGTTTCAACATAGATGGCGATGATCAGTTCATGACCTGTGGTTTCCAGCAAATCGGCAAACTCTATGATTCAACTTGATCTATCATTCAAAGTGTTTTGCCTTCATCCGATTGATGCGAGTCTTTTCTTATATGCAGAAAAATAAAGAAGAGTTTTGAAGTCATGCTGAAGATACTGTTTCTTTTGCTGCAACTTTGACTGTCGAAACTGAACAGTCCACTTCAAAGGAAACCAACTCTAGTCAGAGATGTTTGGTTAAGCTTAAAAAGTTTACTTAAAGCAAGTTGGGCTAAGCCCGTAGAATAAAAGTAAAATTTCTTAAAATTAACTTCTAAGCTTAGCCAAACATACTTGTAGCTTTAAAAGTTAACTTTCTTTCCCAAGCATGTTTAGCTTCTCCTTAAAAGTTGCATCTTCTTTAAACTTTTAGTGCAAAAATTTGCCTTCTTTTAAGCATTCTCTTACCTGTTTCTTGAAAAAACAAATTTGCTTCTAAAAAATTTACTTAATGTAACTTTCACTTACATTTAACTTACTAAAACATGTTGTTTCTATGAATAAGAAAGATCAAATAGACATATAACATTATAGAAAGGCAAAAACAGTGGAGCATTAAGTTCTGAGCTGAAATATATAAAAAGATAGACATACATTGGGATGAGATACGAGGCAGTCCACCACCGTGGAGAGGGCACGAGCCACCGGTAATGCATCCCCGGCATAGCCACCAATGGCTGCTCCAACGCCGGTTGGCACTATCAACACACTTGTATATGCCCTTTTAAACTGCTACAAAAACACCCAAAATATAAAAATCAGCAGAAAAGAAAAAGGAAATTTTAATCTTGTCAATTTCATTTTCTAACTACATTTACAGGATGCAATGGATAATATCATAATAGTGATATTAATCATACAGAGATCAAAAGAATTGACCTTGTTTGGGTGATGTAAACTGGAATTCGAGATTCTCAGGCGGGTGGCTCGTCTCCGTGGCCGCAGTTGGGGAGTCTGGCCGGCGGTGGCGGAGTGAAATGGACGGCCAAGATTTAAGCTTGTCATTTCACTCCGGCTTTATGCCTGCTCTTCTATTCAAAATTTCAGGATAATTCTTTACAACTCCATAAATGTAACAAAATTATTAAAGGGATATTTGCATCTTGAGGTACCCCAACATTCACAATATAGTATCTCTCGAGTCCCTGTTTATTTATTGTTTAGAAACTGATCCCTATCTATCTTTTGTTGATCTTGAGATCCTCAACCTCTCAAATTAGTAACAAAGAGATCTTTTGGATGAAAATCATCCAAAATTCCATTAACAAGTCATGTGCAGCGTACACAACCAGTTTAAGCAAGGGCATTTTGGTCAATCCTTGTAGTTTTCTAAAAACAATTAAGAAAAAATAGAAAGTTGTTATGAGAAAATCAAGACATTCTCAATTTCATAATTAACGCGGGTGGGATGGGAGAGGGAAGAAGGCAACAATGGTGCAAAATTATCTTAAATCATTCAAATGTTGCGGAATACTCTCATGCCGTCTATATCCGTTAGTTTATGCCTCAAAGACCAAAATTAATAATACCTCAAAGGTCATTTTAGTCTCTTCAGATTCTTACACTCACTTAAAAGCCTCATTTGTTTGAGAAACCATTTGAGATAGAAATGACAGTCCATTTGAACGGAAACCCCCCCCCATGATTTAACTGAAATGAAGAAATTGATAGTATATAAGTGGATAGTGAATGGTGAAAATTATTTTGTGCTTTTTATTTTAATGAAAGTAAAAATTATTTTGTGGTTTTATTGTGATTTAGGTAGTGAATGGTGGAAAGTACTGTGATTTTGTTGTAATGTGGACAATGAATGGTGAAAATTATTTTATGGTTTTGTTGTGATGTGAGTAACGAATGGTGGAAATTAGGCTTTTCGTTTTGTAGTTATTTAAGTATTGGATATTAGTAAATGCTGTTATTTTCACTATTGTATTGCTCTAATGTATTTGATTTTAACACGTAACGTTGCATAAAGAAGAGTTCTATTATAATATTAAGTTCAATTTTTTAATTTTTTTGGTTTTTTGCCGTGCTAGTTTTGAATTTCCATGTGTGTATTGAGGAGGAGAAGAACATGTCTATTGGTGAAACATCTGCGTGCAAATCAAACCTAAAATTGGTGAATTTTGTAGAATACAAGTTTGTAAATGGTGAACTTTATAGATACAACCTTGAATTGGAAAACTTTGTGCAAAACAATCCTAAATTAGACGTTAACCAGCAAAAAGCAGAAATCAGCAAAAGAAACTACCAGAATGTAGACATTAATATGTCGAAATAAACCAGCAATAATCATCTAAAAGCAGCAACAAAACAAACCTTACACTAGTAGATAACAAAATAAAATACTGAATGCGAACTTTAATCCAACATTAAATATCATCCAAACCAGGAGAGTATAACATTAATTATAATCATCCAAACTAACATAGTTCATAATTGTAGAATACATCAAAATGTCGTGTAGATACTTCTCCAGTGAGTAAAATGATTGATGATTTTGAATTTTTTGTTGATTCTTGGGGTTTCTACGCCCCAATTACATTGATTTTTATCACAGTTTATGCTTCAAATAGTGGGGACTTAATTGAGTTCTTGAATTTGAAAAGACTAAAATACCTTTTGAGGTTTTATTGATTTTGGCTTAAAAGGATTTTGCACCAAAATGAAAAGTTATGTGAGCACAAAATAGACCAATATTAGAGGAGGCAAATGTTAGGAGAGTATTGTACCAATTACCTTGTTTTTAAATAATTATATAGACTAATGCGAATACCCTTCATTAAAGTTAATTACATGCACAAAGCTTGACTTGTTAATAAAAATTTTGATAATTTCCATCAAAAGGAGTCTTTACTCCCAAATCATAAGTTTGAAGACCTCAAAATTTAAAAATTGAATTGGGACTCAAGTGCTATTGGCGTGAATGTTTGGAGGCTCCGGTTGTAAATTCTCGTTTTTCATTATTCCAACAAGAAATTAAAGAACAATGGCGGTAAAGCTTCAATCTTTAACTTCAAATAGGACAATCCCTAATTCACCCGTTAAATTTAGATCAAATGCCACAAATTCATAGTATCAATGAACTCCAAGTAGCAAAATTATCAAAAGCTTTAGAACAGATAAAAAACTCAAGCAATTACAGAATCATCAATGAAATACATGCCCATTCCGTCACTCTCGGCGTGTTCAATACCCACCAGGACATAGCCTGCAGACTACTCAACACATATGTACAATTGAAGAAACCGAATGATGCCCAGAAACTTTTCGGTCAAATTCCGAATCCAGACATAGTATCATGGACCTCTCTTCAGAATCTTTACCTCAATATCGGTCAGCCCATGAAAGCATTGATGCTGTTTTCGAAGTTAATCGTGTTGGATTTTGTAAAACCTGATTCCCATTCCATTGTTGCTGCTCTTTCTGCTTGTGCGCGTTGTAAAGACCTTGTAAATGGGAAGTCAATTCATGGAATGGTTCATAAATATCTCGAGAGACCTAGGCCCGTTGTGCATAATGCGCTGATTGATATGTATTGTAAAAATAGAAGGATTCACTTGGCTAAGTGTTTGTTTGATAGAGTGCATTTTAAGGATGTTGCTATTTGGACTAGCTTGATAAATGGACATATTTTGGATGGTGATATATATTCTGCTAGGAGGTTGTTTGATGAAATGCCGCAGAGAAATGTGGTTACTTGGACAACGATGATTGTGGGGTACGTGCGGATGAAGTGTCCAATTAAGGCAATGCTGTTATTCCAGAGGATGAGAATGGAAGATATTGGACAAGATTGTTCGCCTACTACTGTCACTATAGTTGCCTTGCTCTCGGGTTGTGCTGATATCGGGGCACTTGATTTTGGAAGTTTAATTCATGGTTACGTTAATAAACGAGTTGGATTTGTTGTGGATGTTGCCGTGAATAATGGGTTAATTGATATGTATGCAAAGAGTGGACATCTTAATTCAGCTTTGAAGATATTTGATGCCATGAAGAACAGGGATTTATTTTCATGGACTAGTATGATTTCTGGGTTGGCGCTACATGGTAGAGGAAAGCATTCTCTTCAGGTTTTTGATGAAATGGTGGATTCTGGGATGATCCCGAATGACGTTACTTTTCTGTCAGTCTTATCAGCCTGCTGCCATTCAGGATTGGTTACTGAGGGAGAGAGATTATTCAAGATATTTGTGAATAACTACCATTTGAAGCCCAAGATTGAGCATTATGGATGTATGGTAGATATTCTTGGTCGAGCAGGGCGGTTTAAGGAAGCCATAGAGTTGATTGAGGGAATGCCCATGAAACCAGATGCTGTTATCTGGAGATCGCTTCTCAGTTCTTCTTTGGTACATAGGGATTCAGATTTAGCTGAATTGGCAGGAAAGAAAGTACTTGAATTAGAACCTAATGACGATGCTGTGTATGTACTCCTATGTAGTGCATTTCGTTCAGTGAATAGGTGGGAAGATGCTTTAAGGACAGCGAAGACGATGAGAGATCAAAGAATCAAGAAAACACCTGGGTGTAGTTGGATTGAAGTGAATGGCATTGTTCATGAATTCATTGCTGAAGCCTCCCCACTCGATATCAGTGATGATGTACTGATGGTTCTGAATGGAGTGATTAATCACTCAAAATTGGATACTAATCTTATTTTAATTGGATGAACATGAGGTCACAGAGATTGGTGAGGTTCATTAAGGATTATGGCATCAAAACAGCCAAAATCAAGCAATCTAATTAATGAAACATATATGGTTAGCTTACAGGTTCAATAGGCACCAGATTTTCATAGTAAAATTACTGTTTTGATATCTTCTACTGTTCATGCATTTTCTTGTTTTTGCTGGGTATTCATTTGCTTTGCTTCTAGATGTCAGAGGAGAAAAATCCAAATCTGTGTCTAGTCTTGTACGAAAACCTTGTTCCATTAACAATTTGTTACAGCATTAAGTTCAGCTGGTCACCCTTGGAGAACACAAGAATGTCTTGATAAAGTATCTTTCTCATTTGAGTTCAAATTACATGAAGCCGTGAAAGATGGATAATTTGACGTCACAGAAAACTTTTACCTGTGAACTTCAATTTTTTCGAAGATAAAATTTTTGTCAGATCCTGAACTGGTCCAGTACTATGCCATTATTATGCTAATGAAATAAATTGTTTTTAGTGTTGAACACTGGCTAACGATGTGCATACCGGGATGCAGCTGAGAAAAGAAAGAGAAGAATACCCACCACCTGATTGGCGGTCGGTCATGACTACTGAACACGAGATGTACAGGTGCAACTGTGCAAGGCATATCTTTCCTTCTGCTTGCTCTCAGCTCTATTTATCAATGAAGCTTATAATCTGTCACACTGCCATTTCCTCTATAGGCATTTCTTCATCCCATACATTTCAGTATTTAAAATTACAATCATTTTATTTATTCTTTAAATGCAGAATTTCTCTTTATTTTGGTTTTATGTAAGAAGATCATTTTTTCTGATCCTTCTCCTATTCCTCCTTTCTGCAAACTCAACCAAGGTGAAGGATTCCATGTTTAGAGAATGACTGAACTAAACAGCAAGTTAGGCTAAGCTTAAAACTAAAAAGTTTTAACAAAAAATACTAGCCATACATAATATATTTCTTGTTAGAAAACAGATTCGAGTTGTCCGTGTGGGTTGACACGACCCACATTTTATGGAATAGGTTGTAGGGAGTGGTTTGAACTTTGAATTAAAATCCTCAACTTCCATCAACTTTGTAAGTGAAACAATGGCAAAAGATGAGCAATTCTTCGGTATGAAATACACCAAAATTGGAAAGTCCATAGAACCATGTTTTTCACCATAATTTTCACAAAGCCTGGCACTTGGGGTTGTGGCAAATGGACTCCTTCAATTATGATTGAGTTATTGATCGTAGGAGTGCAACAAAATGCAGAATTTGGAGCATGGAATTGCAAGTAGATTCAACCACAAAGGTATTGGGAATTGTTTGAAGTAAGTTTTTAAGACTCAAAAATATTTTCGAGCATGCTGTGAAATCTTACATTTCTGATGTATCACACACGTCTTCCCTTCTTGTCCACTTCTATGAACGCTTAAGATTCATGAAGTTGGAAGTTGCACATCAGTTGTCTTCAGGGATTTAGAACAGTAGGAGATATTTTCTTTTCAAGATGAAAAATTGATCACAGAATTCCTTCTTGATAACCAAGTGACATGATTGTACTTGGCACCTTGCAATGCCCCTGCGAGACAGACAGACATGGAGGGACCATTTCTATTCAATCAATCAATGTTGGGTGGGTGAGTGAGTGGGTAAGTGGATGGATGTGTCTTGCACTTAGCAATAACTACATAAGTGATGAGGTCCATCTGGGGATAATGTTAGGCAAGCCCCCACCTATCTATGTTTTGACTTTAATTCTTTACTCTCATTTCACTACTAAATAGTATTTGTGACTGTACATATAGAAGAAGTATAAATATGTATGTGTGCCTTTATATATTATTCAATTTAACAATCTCCTCCATTGATACTATGCGACTTTGTTGCATTAACATGGAGACGAAGAAGGCTCTTCTTTGGCTGTTCCTATTCTTCTCAGCTTTCTTATTTCGTCTCTCGGTGTCGTCTTCAAGTAAGCTCCAACATTTCAATGGACAGATGCATGCCACCGTCAAACTATCTGTACAGAATTTTCTGTACATGTAGCAGAGTTCTATGATATATATGCATATATGATCATCTTATGGATATTACTCTTAAATTTTAATGCAGGAAGTCTCAGTTCAATCACTGATCAGGCGCAATATTCGTCCGGCAAAGATTTACATTATGATTTTCAGGTTCTTCCCTCTGTTCATATTCTTTTTACCTTTTCTTTTCTTATTATATTATTGGATTTTCTGTTTAGTTTGGTAATTTAAATGTTGAGTAGGTTGCATTGGGGAATAGAGAGGAGGAAGAAATATTTAGAGAAGGAAGAATGGATATTGAAACCAGAGACTATTCAAAGACTGGTGCCAATAATCACCATGATCCAAGACCCCCTGGAAGCTTTTAATTCAAGAATAATGCTAATTATAATATATTTGTACAGATAAAGATAAGGATTAATGGAATAATTCCTCTTGTTTTTCAGTTGCACTATTAATTTGAATATTGGTGGAATCCCATTTTCCGTCCGTTCACAGCTCACTTGTGGGGCGTGATGGGAATTCCAATCTTCATTTATCTTCCCGTTTATTTTTATTTATTTAATTAGCTTATTTTATGTTAAATATTTTACATGATTTCTAAATAATTAAATATAAAAAAAAAAGAAACTGGAACAATAAAACAAGATTAAGTTATTTGTACATATTCATCCTATAACATGAATGGTATTCTTTCAACGTGGGACATAATAAAACTCCTTAACAAAGTCTTAAAACTTAAATAACACGAAAATTGAATCAAATATAGAATTCTTAAAGATAATGTGTCTTTAGTAGTCCCTATAATATAAAAGAGGTTACCTCTTGGCACTATACATGTTGGACACGTGTCACAATTTCCTATGGTCAACATCAATTTTTTTTTTCTCTGAAATACATTTGGAAACAACGTCGTGTAAGAGGTTGCCCATTTATTTTCATTTCATTCCTCAAACCCTCAAATTCCTAAATTTTCCTTCCCAACCTGGCAAGAAACGCCCACTAGCCACCGCCAATGACACCAATACGAACCAAAAGCTCAAGCAAGAAGGAGAAGAAGAAATGTTGAAAGAAGATGCCGTTAGCAAGCAGTGGAAGCGATGCAAAAACCTCTCCACATGCTCGTACTTCCTCACGCGATTTACCTCTTCTTTCAGCAAAATTCTCCTTTATAACAAATTAAGAAGAAGTAGAAGAAGCTGGCAGAACAATTTTTGTATATTTGCTTCGTATAATCTGCATGGTTTTACAATGCTATATACAACTTATATATAATTACAATGCTATGTAAAACAAAATAATTTGTTACAAGAAAAACAGAAATAGTGGCAAAGCCATGTGCTATAACAGAATGCTGGTAATGCAGGGCTTCCGAATTCCTTTGCTTCTAGATGTTTCCCTCTTTGTTGGATGGTGATATTACTTGTGTTCATGACTGTATGGACATGTCATCTACCAGCTGCTTGGGTTGTTCTTCATCATTTAACAGCCCCTCGCAAGATGGAGAGTAGATATCAACTACTCCCATCTTGTTCATGTGTGAGTAGAGACTAGAGGAATTCAAGGCTTTAGTTAACATGTCTGCTACTTGAGAATTAGTATGAACATCCTCAGTAGTAATGCTTCCATTTTTTATTTTGTCTCGAACAAGATGACAATCAATCTCTATGTGCTTGGTTCTTTCATGGAAAACGGGATTTGTGGCAATATAGATGGCAGACTTGTTATCGCAGTATATCCTTGCTGCCTGGTTGTGTTCAATGTGCAGAGCTTCAAATAGAAATCTCATCCCATGTCAATTCACAATAGACCTGCGTCATTGCTCTATATTTAGCTTCAAAGGATGATCTTGAAACCACATTTTGTTTCTTCGACTTCCATGACACTAGTGATGATCCTATGAAAACACAATAACCTGTCACAGATCTCCTAGTGTCCGGACATGCTCTCCAATCCGAATCTGAATAACCCTTCAGCTGAAGATTAGATGTAGTGGAATAAAATAGGCCTTGACCTGGTGTCCTCTTGAGATATCTTAATACTTTGTGTGTAGCATGGAGATGTGGTATTCTGGGCTTGCCCATATATTGATTCAATAACTGAATTGTGTAGGATAAATCTGGTCTTGTTATAGTTAGGTACAACAACCACCCTATTAACCTTCTGTAAATAGAAGGATCAGCAAGTAAGTCCACTTTATCTTTGGCCAGCTTAACATTTTGATCAAGAGGTATCTTGGATGGTGCTGAGCCTATTGAACCTGAGTCCCCCAAAATTTCCAGAGCATATTTTCTCTGGCATATGCATATTCCATGTTCTGATCTTGCCACCTCGATTCCTAGAAAATACTTTAGCTTTCCCAAATCCTTGATTTTGAACTTTGCATCAAGAGCAGCCTTGAAATTGTTGATGGTATCCATACAATTTCCTGCTAATATAACATCATCAACATAAACTAGAATAGTTGTAAATGAGTCTTGAGTAGTCCTAGTAAATAAGCTATAGTCTGCTCTTGATTGAATGAAACCATGTTGAATGATAAAACCAGACAATTTTGAATACCACTGTCGTGAGGCTTGCTTAAGTCCATATATACTTTTACGAAGTCCGCATACTTTTGTACTCCCATCACCAACATAACCAGGAGGCAATTGCATATATACTTCCTCATCCAAATCACCGTGTAAAATGCATTATTAACATCCAATTGATACAAGAACCATCCTTTTATGGTTGCAAGGGCAAGTAAACTTCGAACAGTAACAAGTTTTTCCACTGGAGAAAAGGTTTCATGATAATCCAGACCTTCTTGTTGTGTATACCCATTTGCAACCAGCCTAACTTTGTACCTTTCAATACTTCCATCATCATTAAACTTGATCTTATATACCCATTTATACCCTATTACCTCTTTGTCAGCTGGCAAATCAACAATTAACCATGTATCATTTAATTCAAGTGCCTTAATCTCAGATCTCATGTGCTCACACCATTCAGGATAGTTGACCGCTTCTTGATAATTCTTAGGTTCATTTTTTTGAAGTTATGGAAGTGACAAAGACTTTATGAGGAATAGACAACTTATCATATGACATGCTAGCACTAAGAGGATAAAGAGTACCTAAATGAATTGAGCTCTCTGCCTTGTCCAAGTTCTGTAATGGAATGAATGAAGTGACATGTTGACATATAAATTCCTGCAAACGCAATGGTGCTCTCTTGATTTTGGTGGATTTTCTTGGTAAGTGAGGAGCATTTTGATATGTCTCTATGTCTGTGGTATGTAAATCTGTTTGTTGTATGATTTGGTCAGTTTGAGGATCTGTTAGATTAGTGTCTTCAATGTCTTTTGTAGGACTAGAAACAGGTAAAGGCTGGTTATTAGATTCGGTGGATTCTAGAGATGTGCAATTGTTTGGAATAGAGACGAGGATTTTGAGGGAAGCACAAATCAGTGGGACTTGGTATATCAATAATTTTTGCAGCTTCTTTGAAAGGAACAAGGTTTCATGAAAAAATACGTTTCTGGATAAGAAAATTTTCTTAGTTTCTAGGTCAAGAAGTTTGTATCCTTTAACTCCAAAAGGATATCCTAAAAAGACACATCTCCTAACTCTAGAATCAAATTTATGTTTGCCTTGTGTGAGGGTTGTAGCAAAAGCAAAGACAACCAAACACCTTTAGGTGTGAATATGTTGGCCTTTTTTGGAACAAAAGTTCAAATGGACTTTTGTGATTTAGAAGGGTTGAAGGGGTTCTATTAATGAGATATACTGCAATCAAGACACAATCATTCTAATATTTTAGTGGAATGCCACTTTGGAATCTTAGAGCCCTTGCAAAATTCAAAATGTGTTGATGTTTCCTCTCAAATATTGCATTTTGTTGAGGGGTTTCAACACATGTTTTCTGATGTATTATCCCCTTTTCAAGATAAAATTCTTTCATGTCAAATTCTCCCCTATTATCAGTTCGAACAATTTTAATCTTAGTTTCAAATTGTGTTTCTATCATGGCACAAAAGTTTTGTAACATATTTGAAGGATCAGATTTTAATTTAAGCATGTACACCCAAGTACATATGCTGAAATCATCTACTATTGTTAGGAAATGACGAAATCCATCATAACTAATTTCATTGCAAAGTCCCCAAAGGTCAATATGTATTAAATCAAAACATTTTCTTGATTTGTGTTGACTAACAGGGAAATGAGGCTTGTGCATTTTAGCTAAAGGACACACATGACATGGCCTAGAATCAGCCATCTTAGGAACAACTTCTATGAAAGGGAGAACAAAATATGATGGATGTCCCAATCTATAGTGCCAAATATCAAATACTTCAAATGGTTTGATCACAGAGGCTGAATTGGAAGGATTTGCAGCCAAATGAGTTAGTGTTTGCTGTAGAGTTGTAGGAGAGACCTTTGTTTGCAGGATATGATAAAGGACAGACTTCAACTCACCCATTCCAGTCGCTGTCCAAGTCAAAAGGTCATGTATGTAGCAGTAATTAGAAAGGAAAACAACACAACAATGCAATTCTTGAGTAAGTTTTCCAACAGATATTAAATTGAAAGAGAAAGAGGGAACACGCAAAGCACATCGTGAAGAACCAAGGATTTTGTGATTTGGACTGTGCTAATATGAGTTACAGGTACAGTGTTTGCACTTGGCAAAGCTACAGAGCAGGTAGCCTGCGATTTGACACAAGAAAAATATGATGGTGAACATGTCATATGATTTGTTGTACATGTATCCAAAATCCATGGAATGTAGCAATTATTTGTGGATTTAGTTTTAGTGGTTGTCAAACAATAAGGTATACCGGATAGCTTTGGAATAGCATTGTCTGAGGTTGAAGTAATAATGCTTTGGACTTGATTTGCTGAAGGAACGAAAGATTGGCTACTTGATGGTTTGAGAATTGCCATAAGTTGAGTGTACTGCTCCTGAGTTAAAGACACTTGACCTTTTTCACTTTGTTGTTCCTGATTTAGAGGCATAAGGGAAAAAGCTTGGTTTGCTGATGATCTGTACTTGTTCTTTCCTTCATGCTTGTGACCTGGTGGATATCCATTCAATTTGAAGTACTTGTTTGCCATGTGACCAGGCATATGGCAATGAGAACAAACATGTCTATTGGGGTTGGCCTTGAAGCACCTATCAAAGGAGTGCCCTGTAATTTTACAATAGGTACAGTAGTAATTATCCTTCTTCTGTAATGAAGTATTCAGCCTCCCAATTTCTTTCAAGTTTCCTTTAGTAAGTAAGGATAAGGTCTCACTAACAGGATTTTCTATAGATATCTGTCGCCTTTTCTCCTCTTGTTGTATGGTTGCATAAACTTCATTTACGCTAGGAAAAG